AGAACAGTCAGAGAAGGAGAGGAGATGAGAACCCAAGGATGGATACACTTAGTCGGTGGAGAGAAGAGGGGAAAGAAAGTCATTCCTATGACCTCGAGTTCAGGGAAGGTCATCACACTTTTCTTATAAGGAGGTATTTTCATGAGGAAGTGAAATCCCACATTTAAATTCTTGACTTATGCATTTCCAAGTAGTGGACTTTCTGAGTTACCAGAAATTAAAATAATAGCAACTGAGGCATACATAGCCGAGTTCCCTGCTAGGCATGACTCTAATCCCTTCACATAGACAGTATGGACTTACATAATTCTCACAAAACCTTACTGTTGTCTCTGTTTTAAGGATGGAGAAACTGAAGCATAGACAGATTAAGCAGTGGGCCCAGGGTCACAGGGCCAATAGGTAATGGCCTGAGGAGTAGAACCCAAGCAGTGAGGGTCAGGAAGCCATGATCTTAGCCACCATGCTAAGGTGTCTTTCTGCAGGTAGGGCCACCTAAGGCCTGTAGGTTTTTAGAAATGTCACTCTTGTTTTCTATGAAGTGAGAACCTCAACTCTCCCCAGACCCAGCTCTCCTGCATTTCAGAGCCCACCTGGGCATCAACGACCTGGCCCCTTGACTGGTCTGACCAGGAGGCTGCTTATAAAGGGAGAATAGGAATTCTACTCAAAACCCTTTCCTTCCCTTAAGGACAGTGCTCTCAAACTGAGCACTGGAGCCATTGATTCAGTGATAATAGGAGTTGTTTGTTCGGAGAACTGCATCCCCTGGCATAATCTGCTAACGTTCTCTTTGGCGTGAATATAGAATGTTGACAAAGGAAATTTCATATTTGTCCTGCATTTCCCTTGGCTGCTCAGGAAGAAGGAGAAATTGATTTTTGAACGTAACATAAATACCATCAGAGGTTGCCCCAAAGTTTCGTTCTGTGCAAGGTCTTATGTGTGCCTCAAAGGCGCTCAGTGGACACTGATTAAAGCCGACTGTCCACTGTATTCTAGCTGTGTGACCGTGGGCCTGTTGCTTCAGTTCTCTGGGTCACAATTCTCTTTGTATAGTAGAACTCAAAATAGTACCTGTTGTAGTCCTTGCCTCCTGGGATGGCTCTGAGGATGACATGGATTGATCAAAGCAGAAGGTACTTCAGTGCCTGGATTGTGGTATACTCTCAGCGAGTCTAGCTGCTATGACAGGTTTGCATAGGAAAGTGAATGCAAAATGTGGTCAGGATGGAGGAAGTCACCCAGGTGATCCAGACTGGAAGTGACATTGGTCTTTTACAAAGACTCATGTTATGATGAAAGTTGATATACAAAATAGAGAGGCTAACCTGGTGGTTCAGATGGTAAAGAATCTGCCTGCAATGCTTGATCCCTGGGTCAGAAAGATCCCTTGGAGAAGCGAATGTCTACCCACTCCAGTATTCTTGCCTGGAGAATCCCATGGACAAAAGAGCCTGGTGGACTACAGTCCATGGAGTCAAAAAGAGTCAGACATGACTGAGCGACTAACGCTTTCAACACTTCAGAGAACATCTACTTTGATTCCCTTCCTCGTAAGTGTGGAACCTGAGGCTCAATGAGGAGTGGGATGTGCTCAGCCCCCTCAGTGAGGCTCTGTTAGGGACAGTACTTGTGTCCCTCTGGATGGAGGCTGCACTGTTTCTCCAGATTTACTTCTCTGTCCATAACTCTGGACTGATCAGAGGTTTGAAGGTCAAAGAATCGGCAGATTGCCTTTGGGAAAGGGCAAACACAAGTTAGCACGTTTGGCACTGTAGTGGTGCCAGGATTCACCTAGGGAGGGACAGAGGCCATTGGTTTAATAAGACCTATTACCCGTGTGACTAGTTAACTGGAGACTTCTTTCCAAGAGGGTCTCACCATGATTTCTGTCCTGTCCATTAAGGTCTGAACCTACAGGGCCATATGCATTTTCTAGATCGTTGCAACCACAGTGGTGACATTGCAGGGTCCAGAGATGCCTTTCTGTCAAGTTCATGGGGACGGGGGAGAAGGTGACACCAAGAGAAATATTATTTGCCTCTTAGCTAGTTGGTGATAGATCGAAGACCAGAACCCAGAATTGCTAACTTCCCAACCAGGAATCTGACTGCAAGAAAATAGTGCTTCTTAGCAAGCCCCCTCTAAGTGATAGTCCCAGTAATGATGCTTTAAAAAATAGTGCAGAAAATCTCCCAGTTCTGGCCCTTATGAAAAAAGAGTCTGTAGACAGAGGAAAGAGGATATGATGCTCATCCAGGTTTGAGAGCTGTAGACACAGGAGAGAGGTGACTCTCCAGGGGAAGGTAGCATTAGGTTGTTGGTCATCTTTGTCCAACTGGGACTGGCCCTTAGAGTTACAGGGTGTCTCTTAGGGCTTCTCAGAGTGGGGAGGGGGTCCGTGGATGCTGTCAGCTTGTAAGCTTTTGACTATCGTCCTGCAGTGAGTACAGAAATTGAGAGTAAGCATATGGAAATTTTTATGGCAATTAACAGAGTAATTTTAGGTTGCTGAATCTGATAATAAAAATGTGAATGTATATTTTGTGTATCTTTATGGTTTATTTCATTTTTCTCAAAGGCTATTTTTATTTTATTTTAAAAATATATTATTTGTTTATTTGGGTGTGTGAGGTCTCAGCTGTGGCGATATGGCGGCCTTCGTTGCAGTGCACAGGCTCCAGCTGTAGTACGTGGGCTTAATTGCTCTGCAATAAGAGGGATCCTAGTTCCCTGACCAGGAATCGAATCCCCATCACCTGCATTACAAGACAGACTCTTAACCACCATGCCACCAGGGAAGTCCCCGAAGTTTATTTTCACTGTGCAGCCTTTGGGGTACAGTGGCTGCCTTCCTTGACCATCTGGGCCCAGTGATCTCCCCACCCCTGTGCTCCCCCTGAGTCTGAGCCTCAGACTGCAGCCCTGGCTCTTCTCCCCAGCTTGGTTCCTTCTCATCTGCACCCATGGGTATTCATAAACACTGTCTCAAAAAAGTGTCTCATAACATAAGAAACAGTCAAATATATTACCATTATTAAAAAATAAAACTAAAAGAGACAAACTAAAAGAGGCTCCTTTGGCCCTCCCAATTCACGTCCCCAGAGAACACATTTTATGTTTTCTGAGTTCCTTTTCACACCTTAAATTCTGCATTTACGTTTGAATTTTTCTACTATCTTTTGAGGTTGTTTACACAAATGTTATGCTGCAAAGATGCACTTTCACTTAATAATATGTCTTAGAGGTCTTTCAGTGTCAGCACTGATGTAGTAAATGCCATTTATGTGTGTCATATATGTGTGTCATCAATGCTACGGCAGAAAAATGGCAGGAAATACCACTCATAGTAATGGCAGCCTTGTGTACCAGAGTGGGGTACAGTGCCCTTGTTAATGGAGGCATTCTCCCTTTCCAGAGGTTCACAGTTTTTTCCTACATTGCAGAGAACTTTTTGCACACGCCTCTTCATGTAACATGTGCTAGTATTTCTCTGGGGCACAAACTCCAACGTGGGATTACTGATTAGGAGGATACAGACATTTTATATTTTAATAGATGCTGTTAAATTGTCCCCTACATTGCTGGCTTCCCGCTGCCTACGACCCCCAATATGTCCACTAGAGCCTTAATATCCATCTTCATTTTGCCAATCTGATAAACAGGAAGGTGAATCTCATTCTTGCTTTAATTTGCATTTCCCTGATTACTCATGAGGCTGAGCATACTTCCATATGGTTATTAGCCATTCGTAGAGGAAACTCTCACTGAATGCAGTAGGTGTTGAGTAAAGATACTGTGAAAGGAGAAGAGTACTGCAGCTCAGGGTGGATCACTCTGAGGTCCGGGTCACGGGCTGGTCCAGGAGGGGTGCTCACAGGACCTGGTGGGGTACAGGGTGAGGAAGGCATTTATGACACTTAGAACAATGGAGTCACACTCAAACAGAGAAAAGCACGTGCATGCTCAGTCGTGTCTAGCTCTTTGCAATCCCATGGACTGTAGCCTGCCAGGCTCCTCTGTCCTTGAGATTTTCCAGGCAAGAATTCTGGAGTGGGTTGTCATTTCCTCCTCCAGGGGTTCTTCCTGACACAGGACAAGGCTGGGACCTGAACTCGAGTTCTTCTCAGCTCATAAGGTCCCACCCTAACTTGATGTCCCTCACGATGGGATCTGTCATTGTCTGGACTCTAGGGAAGATTGCAGTCTTTTGGCTACAATTTGTTTGTTATCCATTATTGCAAACTACCTCAAAAGTAATGGTTAAGACAATAGCAAAGCATTGGTTTGCTCACACTTCTGCGGTTTGTAGAGAGCTCAATGGCGACAGCTCAGTTGTTAATGGCCAGCTCTTTGAGTTAGCTACTGGGGCTGGATCACGCAAGAAGGCTTCTAAATGCGCATAGCTGAAGCCTGGGCCAAGGTGGCTGGACTAGCTGGGGCCTGGTTGGGCATTGTTCTTCATGGCCTTTCCAGGTGGCTTAGCTGAGCTTTCCTGATGATTTTTTACCTGGCCATTGGTTCCCCTCAGCCTGCATAAGTAAAAGCTACCAGGTCTTCTTAATGCCCAAACCGGAAGCCCTGGAACATCACTGATGCCTCATTCTACAGGCTAGACCAGTCGCAGGGCCAAGGGAGGGGACATAGATTTCAATCTTGTGGGGGAGTGGCAACGGCCAATTGCAAAAGAGCATGTGGGCTGAGAGAGACTGTTATAACCTTTGCAAACCCCAATTTGGAACAATTAAAATCCTCTCGAAACTGATTGAAGAAAAAGAGGAGAATGTATAAGGACTTGGGGTGTCTCAGAGAAGCCTAGGCCAGAAAATGCAGCAGAGGAAAGGTCTGGGTTGAAAAAACCCAGCAATCACTCAGGCTGCCCCCTCAGCTCCCTGGGGGGCACCAAGGCCTCCCCTGCACACCCGTTTTCTCTGCTCCCCACGTTCATGGGCTCTATGAGGCTGCCTTCAGGGAGTACCCTCAGCCCCCTGCTTCTCAACATTCCCAGGTTGTTGTGAATCCCTGTTCCAAACCCCAGAGAGTCAGGGCATCTTTTCTTGTAAATTTGGAAAATAAGGAGCTGGAGAGCAGCAAAACCAGGTTCCCAGCCCTGGAGGCTCCATCTGATTTAGAGCCAAGGCTCACTCCAGGAGGCCCTGGATTTTTGCACCCCCCTCCCCCACAGCCCTCGCCTAGCTGAAACTTCAGGAGAGCGGAGCAGGTCTGGCCCTGATAGCTGGGTCTCCTGCTCATCAGCAGCCCCCTCTGGTCCCTGCTTGCTTAGACGGGGCAATATCCTGCCACACAGGGTGGTGAGGGGGTCACTTAGAGGTGTGATTCATCTGGAATGAAGGGTTTCAATCACCCCTGCAGGCTTTCTGTCTTCCCACTCCAGCTCCAGCATGGGCTGGGAATACAGGATTTCAGAGGCTAGGTGAAAAGCGGCAGGCGGTAATGATCACTTTGGAGCCCCATTGGGGAAGGCAGTCCATGTTTCTGGAACTCTGATGAGAAGGCTTGCTGTATCTCCTGGGTTGAAGCTGCCTGGCTGGGTGAGACTCCCCTGGGCTTCCTCTGACCTCACATCTTCCCCCCCAAGTCTACACAAAAGCCAGACTTGTAGCCCCACAATCACCTCCCTACCCAGGGGCAGCTCTGCTCTAGGTTTCCAGACCTTTCCTCTTCTCTGCACGTCCTTAGCTGATATCAACCTAGGCCTGGAATAGCCCCTTCCCTCAACTCTGTTCCTAAGTGTATCCTCTCCACCCTCTATGGGCTTACAGCAAAGGTCACCTACTCACCATTGCCGTTTTCAGCTTCTCAGGAGAACTGTTCCTACGTCCCTTTGGACATCTGTCTCCTTTCAACATGGATCACAGGGATTTGGGGCACAGGCAGCAAGGCATGGAACAATCTCATAACATATTGTTTATTCATTCAGCTACTATGTATCGAGTGCCTATTCTGTGCCAGGCACTGTTGTAGCCCTGGGGAACAGAAGAGATGAGAATCACTGTCTTTGTGGATGTGAGACTCTGTGGTGGGAGGCAGGCCATAAGCAGATGATTAAATCAAGTCATAGTAAGTCACATGAAGGTAGGTGCTATGGGGTGACATGAAGGAGCGGAGGGAAGACTAGAGTGCCAGGGCTGGGGCATGATGGCACAGGGGTCACCTTCTCATGTAGTCATGTCACTCGCCCGCTGTGTGAGTTTCCGCCAGTTTCTTGATTTCACCCACTTTAAGTTGCCTTGACCGTAAAACCCAAGCAATGGCACCTAGCTCAAGTAGAAGGTCATAGGTAAGAGGAAGTCAGTGCCGGGCACACAGTAAGTGCCTCATAACTGATAACTGTTACTACCACCACCACCATCACTGCCAACAAAGACTTGAAAGCAAAGTTTGCCCAGATAATCCTCCCCAGGGGGCAGGTAGAGGGAGAATACCTCCATCTGATCAGATTCCAGCTCTCTGGCAGGGGCACAGAGTTCTCGAGGGTTCTGTTGCTTTAAGCAGATGGAAAGGGGATAAATCTGCTTCTGCAGCCCTCCCACTCAGAATGCTTAACCTGACTCCCTTTCATGATTTCAGGAAGGCCTCAGCGCATCCCTGCTGCTCTATCTGGGAGTGCAGTGTCTGGGAAGAGTGAATTCATTGGGTGCCGGCAGTTGGTTTTAGCTGCAGGGCTGGGGAGGTCACAGATTCTGGGAGATAGAGTGCTCTGCGTGCAGGCTGTGTGCAGCAAGGCGGCTAGAGCTCTGAGCTGGGAGCTCTTTCCTGTGTGTGTGTGCGTGTGACTGTGTGTGTCAGAGAGAGAGACAGAGACAGAGGTAGGGAGGAGGGGGAGATCCCATTTCTCCTCCCTGGGCTTCTGCCAGGACAAAATGAGGTGCCCTGGTTTTCATCAAGGCGAACCATCACCTGGAGAGCCTGTGGGAGAGGTGGGACACATCCTCCTGGTAGATAGAACTTGACGTTCTAAAGCTCCAAGAGTCCCCCTGGCCTCTTCCACCTACAAGGTGTCTTGGGGCAGGTTAGCCAGCAGTTGGGCCAGACCACTGCCACTGGTGGGCCTGGAGCAGTGACCACTGGGTCCAGCTCCAAGGTGGGGGCCCAGATCCCATGGCCTCTCTCAGGCCCACCTGGTGCCAGGACTCTAATTAAGGCTCACCAGAACAGCCCCTTTTCCCTGAAGAGTATTGCTGCCAAGTGGGGACTTGGCACTTGATTTTGGACTTCAGCTGACTTCTCAGCCACCCAGAAGCCTGTTGCTATTTTTCAGTTACATGATATAATTCTAACTTGATTTGCATAGCCTTTTGCTATTCTTTTTGAAGGCCTGTTCCATCCACACTGACAGCCCTTCCCGCAGTCTCTCAGCCAGAGTCTTTTTCTTGCCCCCAAATGGTCAGTGGAGGCCCCTTAGCAAGTCAGAGGGCATTGGACCCAATGAGCCATCCACACAGATAGCCCTGACTCACCAGAAATCCATCTCATTGTGGAGGGGGCCTAGTGATCCCCGTTTCCCCTCGCCCATCCTGTGGACAGTGCTCTGGGCTCAGAAATAAGAGACCCAGGGCAGCTGAACTCTGGGGCCAGAAGCTGGGATGCCCACCAGGGCTGAGCTGAGCAGCTGAGTTGAACCACTCCTGGTGCCTAGGCATCTTCCGGGGTCCCAGTGGTTCACACAGAGTCTGAGTGTGGGAGTCATGCAGATGCTGGTTTCAGTTTTAATTATTTGCAGGTTAACATCCCTCTCCAGAGGCAGGAGGAGGGGGACACAACCTCTTTGTAATTATTCAGAGCATTATTTACAAGGCCCTCTGAGCTGCAGCCCTGACCCAGGGAGACGTGGGCTTTTCTTCTCCAATTACTTGCCCAGGCTGATGCCAACAGCCTCACCCTGCCCCATCTCTGCTGCACCCCCGCCCCTCTCCTCACAGCCCCTGCTTCCTGCCTAGTGAGCGGAGCTTTGGAGGCACTGCTTAGCCTAGTCCTAGGCCTGGGTGGGAGTGGCCTCCGGGTGGCAGCCAGGGGCCCAGGCAGAGATGGCCCCCTCAATGGGCCTTGAAAGCCAAGTCTGATCCTGTTACGCCTCTGCTCAAGTGCCAGAAATGACTCTCATCTCACTGAGAGGAAGGGCCTGGGCCTTAAGGGGCCCTCTAGCTCTCCATACACAAGCACACATTTACACGCACACACACACACACACGCACAGAGACCTGCATGAGCAGCATACCATTCACACCCAGGACTGCAGGCATGTGTCCCTTGTGTGCACAAACACAGCCCCTTGCGTGAACAACACACAGATGCCTGCACACACATGCACACACACACGCACATGCATGCACCTGCATAACTCTGCACCTGGAACTTGCCAGCCGCTCACTCTCCCCTCTCAGGTTCATTACCCCTGCTCTTCCCTCTGCCTGGGAGGCACCTGCCTGGACACCTGCCTGGCTCCCTCCCTCACCTCCTGACGCAAAGGTCGCTGAGGCCCTCCCTGGCCGCCCTCCAGTGGACACTACTGTGCCCCACCAGGCCCCTTGCCGTTATTCTGGTGCGCCACCGAGATGACATGGAGAAGGAGCCCATGCAACACGTTCCCTCCACCACCTGACATCAGGAAAGGGGCGACCCACTACACTCAAGGCCACAGAGCTGATGACAGGCTCAGCTGTGCCTGGAATCCAGGCTTCCCAACTCCAGGGCACCGGGTCACCATTCAGCTTCAAGCCCAAAGGTTGCTCCCCCTCTTCTGGAATCTCAGTTTTCCCTGAGATTGGGTAGTTGACTCCAAGGCCTTCAGGGGCCTGGCTGCACCGGGACTCCCCTTTCCCACCAGCTCTTGGGAAGGCTGACAGCAGGCGGGTTCCATCCATGGTGGCCTCTCCCAAACACTCTGGGATTCTGTTCCCCCTCCCCCACCCCACCCCCAGCACCGCAGTGCAGGTGTGAGGGGTTTATTTACTGTCTGAAAGCCAAATGCTGGGCTCTCTTAATGGATTTCAGAAGCTTCCTGCCTTTGCTGCCACAGTGGAAAAGATTTCCTTCTTTGTGATATTTAAAGAGAAACAGGCAGTTCTGCTTTTTGAGGTCTAAAAAGGGACTATAACTCGGTGGGGAGAGAGGCGGGAATGTAATTTACTACTGGCAGAATTGACAGCGGACCTCTTTCTCAGATCCAGAAGTTATCATTACAAAGAGAGGCTCCTTGTTTAATTTTCCTCATTTCAGGTAGTCTACAAATAGTGGGAAATGGATTTCTCCCTTCATTACAGATGTGCTCCCTGACCTTCTGTAACCCTGTGGTTCCTATCCAGGCTGGCCTTTCCAGCGGGCATGGCTACGTCTGCAGAGTAAGGATTTCCAGCCCTGGTCCTTCTGCGAAAGCCTCTGACCCCCACCTCCACCATAGCCATGGGGAAGCACTGTCCTTTACTGCTGGCCCTCCCCTTCCCAAGGAAGGGGCATCAGGCATCCTGACATGCCAGACCCTATGTATTCAGACCTTTCCTGCTTCTGCATCTTCTTATCTGGTGAGTTAACACCTACCATCACCCAGTCTTTCTGATCTGGGCACCCCACTCCTGCCCATCTACCCCCTGCCTTAGATCGTACCAATCTCTTTGCCAGGATGATCCGCCCCCTCCCCACCGCCCCACCTCCAGGCCTTAACCCCTAGTCTACCTGTGGAAACCCCTCCATGCCCACACCAGCTCCTGCAGGAGTCCTTGATGACCCTCCCAGGGGCCCCAGCTCTTTCCCCTCTCTCCTGGTGCTCACCCTCGCTGGGCCCCCTCTCATGGCAGCCAACCACACTCATGCCAGACTTCCACCTTCAGCCTGGGGACTAAAGGGAGGGCCAGAAGTTACTTCCTCTAGACTAAGCTCCCCCTAGGTGCTGGGCTGCTGGGGCTCCTCTTTCCTTCCTGCAGGAGCCCTCAACCTCTGCTTACATAGCCCCTGGTGACGTGGAGCTCACTCCCCTCTCCCACACCCATGCATGCACTCCCCCGCCAGCCTGCTCAGTGGAAGAATGCCTGTCTTTCCTGTGTCAAGCCCCCATCGCCCTCCTCCAGGGAGGATTCCTGCCGCCTGAGCCCTTCCTGCTTCCCCAGGCACCTTCTGATGTCTGCCATCATGAACTGAAAACTCCCTGTTTCAGCTATGTTTTGTGTGATAACAACTTCCCCCCAAACCAGAGACCCAAAACAAGAAACATTTATATTACTTTGTGATCCTGTGCTTTGGCTGCTCAGGGCTCCTGGCCAGGGCGGGTTTGGCTACTCCGCGTTCAGCTGGCACCTTGGCAGGGCAGACGTTCTGAGAGGTCCTCACTCACCTGTCTGGCGGTTGCTCCATATTGGCTGGGGCAATGGCAACGGCATGGCCACCAGGATCCAGAGGCCACCGGGCTTTTTCGCATGCTCCAAACTGCAGGGTTCCCCAGAGCAGCCAGATAGGAAACAAGCTTCGGTGTAGAGCACATTGTTTTAAAAAAGGACTTTATTGTTTAGCGCAGTTTTATGTCCACAGTGAAACTGAAGAGAAAATAGAGAGGGTTCCCATAGCCCTCCATCCCTGCTCAGCCTCCCCTGCTATCAACAGCCCCTGCTAGATAGGCACATTTACTGCCATCAGTGAATCTATACTGGTGTGTCATTACCGCTCAAAGGCCACAGTTTGCATTGGGTTACTCTTGGGGTACATTCTATGGGCGTTGACAACTGCATATAAAGACACATATCTACCAGTACAGGGTCATACAGGGCAGTTTCACTGTCCTAAATATCTTCTGTGCTCACCCTATTAATACCTCCTTTCCCCCACCTCTGCAAAAGCTGATCCTTTTACTATCTCCATAGTTTTGCCTTTTCCAGGAAGTCGTCATAGAGTTGGAATCGGGTGGTATGTAGCCTTTCCGATGGGCATTTTGCACTCAGTAACATTGTTTAAGGTTCCTCCATGACTTTTAGGGCTTGAGAGATCATTCTTTTTTAGCACCTCATATTTATTCTTTTATTATATGGAGCAGTTTATTTATCCTTTAACCTAGGGGACATCTTGATTGCTTCTGAGTTCTGGCAGTTATGAATAAAGCTGGTGTATACCTCTGTGTGCAGATGCTGGTCTGGACATACGTTTTCAAGTACTTGGATAAGTACCAAGGAGCAAGAGATGGAACAAGCCTCATGTGCAAGTTTTCTTCAAGCCCCTCCTGCCATTGTATTTGCTGATGTTGTATCCACCAAACCAAGAGATGTGACTGAGTCAGACTGGGAGGGGGGGAGGTGATGGTGAGAAATGGACTTGTCCTCTCAGTGGGAGGAAAAGCAAAGTCATTCGATGAGACAGATTGTCTTCTTCCTGTTTCAGCTATGTTTTGTGTGATAACAACTTCCCCCCAAACCAGAGACCCAAAACAAGAAACATTTATATTACTTTGTGATCCTGTGCTTTGGCTGCTCAGGGCTCCTGGCCAGGGCGGGTTTGGCTACTCCGCGTTCAGCTGGCACCTTGGCAGGGCAGACGTTCTGAGAGGTCCTCACTCACCTGTCTGGCGGTTGCTCCATATTGGCTGGGGCAATGGCAACGGCATGGCCACCAGGATCCAGAGGCCACCGGGCTTTTTCGCATGCTCCAAACTGCAGGGTTCCCCAGAGCAGCCAGATAGGAAACAAGCTTCGGTGTAGAGCACATTGTTTTAAAAAAGGACTTTATTGTTTAGCGCAGTTTTATGTCCACAGTGAAACTGAAGAGAAAATAGAGAGGGTTCCCATAGCCCTCCATCCCTGCTCAGCCTCCCCTGCTATCAACAGCCCCTGCTAGATAGGCACATTTACTGCCATCAGTGAATCTATACTGGTGTGTCATTACCGCTCAAAGGCCACAGTTTGCATTGGGTTACTCTTGGGGTACATTCTATGGGCGTTGACAACTGCATATAAAGACACATATCTACCAGTACAGGGTCATACAGGGCAGTTTCACTGTCCTAAATATCTTCTGTGCTCACCCTATTAATACCTCCTTTCCCCCACCTCTGCAAAAGCTGATCCTTTTACTATCTCCATAGTTTTGCCTTTTCCAGGAAGTCGTCATAGGGTTGGAATTGGGTGGTATGTAGCCTTTCCGATGGGCATTTTGCACTCAGTAACATTGTTTAAGGTTCCTCCATGACTTTTAGGGCTTGAGAGATCATTCTTTTTTAGCACCTCATATTTATTCTTTTATTATATGGAGCAGTTTATTTATCCTTTAACCTAGGGGACATCTTGATTGCTTCTGAGTTTTGGCAGTTATGAATAAAGCTGGTGTATACCTCTGTGTGCAGATGCTGGTCTGGACATACGTTTTCAAGTACTTGGATAAGTACCAAGGAGCAAGAGATGGAACAAGCCTCATGTGCAAGTTTTCTTCAAGCCCCTCCTGCCATTGTATTTGCTGATGTTGTATCCACCAAACCAAGAGATGTGACTGAGTCAGACTGGGAGGGGGGGAGGTGATGGTGAGAAATGGACTTGTCCTCTCAGTGGGAGGAAAAGCAAAGTCATTCGATGAGACAGATTGTCTTCTTGGAAGGGAAGATTTTTGGTCAGCTGTACAGTCTTCCCCGTTCATGCACACACTTTTTGATATCTCAGTCTTCTGCCTGAACACCAAGTTGTTGGACTGGGGCCCATTTGACATGTAGAGGGAATGAGACAAAACTGCTGGATTAGATGGCTTTAGCAGCTTTGAAGATCAGAGGGTGAGGGTGGCAGCACCAATAATAGTCACTTTCACACAGGCAAGGCCTTTACTCAGCAATAGTTGTGCATTCATACTGTGTGGTTGGCACTGGGTGAGCTGCAGGGAAGTGTATGTCCTCTCCAGGGAGGGAAGTGAGGGACACAGAAGCAGAATAACAGGTGCAATGAAGGGACAGGTGATGTGGTGGGGGTGGAGGGGTGAGGAGGGAACATGTGCTCCATGGCGGGGCAGGAACCCCAATCCTTGAGCTGAGATGTGAGTGTGAGGAGGGCTGGAGAGGAGACTACTGGGAAGGAGCCCTGCTCCCCCTCCACGGCACCTGCTCTCCCTCCGTGTCCTGCCTTCAGCTCTGCATGTCTATAGCAGTGCTTTGCAGGGATCTTGTTAAAGTGCAGCTCTGCTCCTGTAGGTCTGGGCTGGGACTTGAGCATCTGAATTTCTAACAAGTTCCCTGGGATGCCCATCCTGCTGCCAGAGTCCAGGGGCGTGGAAATACTGACCTTTCTCAGGCTGGGATGTCCACGTTCAGGGACGGGCTTGGATGGCAGTGAGGAGAGAGGGGGACAGGAAACCCCATGGCTGTTTTCTCCTGGGACACTCAGCTGACCCCTCTGGCTGCTGGAGGATGAATAAGATACAGAGTATGACAGCCCACTCACAGGGATCTCAGAACTGATGTTTAAGCATCTTTGGGTACCATTTCAAATGAGGGGAGTGATGCTAGGGGGAAGAAAGTTCTCGCCAAATATCAGTGAGTGAGTGAACAGAGTTAAGACTGTACACCAGGGCCCCTGACTCTTTCTTTCAGGCAGACATCATTTATCAAATGCCTCCTGTGTGCATGGCCTGTTTTTTCCATGGAGTTCTTTGGCTGGTAGAAAAGATGAAACAGACACAAAATTGCAGATATGAAGGTAGGACTGGTCCAGAAACCATGGCAGAATTGACGTGAGGATAATACAGCTGGACTCAGGCAGTGACAGGGATCAGAGCAGTTGGGTGGATGTGAAGAGCTGTTTAGGAGGTAATATCAAGAGGTCCAGGTGAGCCAGAGTGATGACCAAAAGGGTGAGAGGAAGGAGGCTGGGATGGGTGAGGGCATGGCCAGAAGTGTCCTCACTAGGGTGGGGATGTGAGAGAGGAGCAAGGATGGGGAATGGGGCCTCTGCCTTTGGATCTGTTGAGTTAGAGGGGCTGAGGTCAGGGAAGGGAAGGCAGCTGGACACTGTAGTTGGGAGGGCAGAGAGTAGGTAAGGCTAAAATGCACACAGCTGTTCTGTGGATGAGCTTCTAGAAGGAATGATGCTCCTAAGGACTTAGTAGAGGCTCTGCAGAGAGATACATCTTTGGTGATTCAGGAGGCTCTTGTGACTCATTCAAGACCCCAGGTCTGAAGGATGTGGTGGCCCATCAGGAGTCAGTGCTTTGCGCTTGGCCCACTTTATTAAGTGTTCCTTGGCTTGTGTGGTCTGTGCTTAATCACTCAGTCCTGTCCAACTCTTTGTGACACCATGGACTGTAGCCTTCCAGGCTCCTCTGTCCATGGGGATTCTCCAGGCAAGAANAGCTCCGGGAGATGGTGGACAGGGAAGCCTGGCGTGCTGCAGTCCATGGAGTCGCAAAGAGTTGGACACGACTGAGCAGCTGAACTAAACTCCCCCCAACTAGTGTGCACCCAGGCTGGAGGCTGAGAGGTGGTCCCCTTCTGTGTAGTCTTGTTTCCCAGACTGGCTCTGGGCTCAGCCGCAGAGGTATCACCAGGAGACAGGTTAGAAATGCAAATTCTCAGCCCACCTCAGACCTATGGACTCAGACTCTGGGTTTTATCAGAGCCCCGATGGTTCATGAGCAAAGGAGCATTTCAGAAGCATTGGCCCAGGTGAGTAGTTCTCCACTGGGTTTACACACTTGGATCCCCAGGAGAACATGATGAAATACTGCTTCCTGGGTCCCTACCCCCAAACTGGAGCTTCTGATATAGTTGGTCTGGGGAAGGCCCAGGCTGCCCGAAGGTTCCAGCTCCCTGGGTGACTCTCATGTATATCCAGGGTGAGACCCAAACCCCAGTCCCTACCCAGTCCTCTTTCAGGGACAAGAGCTGGCAGTGTTGGAGGGCAGACCCTTTGTGGAAGTCAGTTTGCATCTTTGGGCCTCAAGTGAAACCACCCTGTGCCCTCTGGTTTATAGGAGCTCAGAGGAGGGCAGGTGATGTAGGGGTGGGGATGGAGGGGAGGTCAAGAGCCACGAAGAGCTGGCTGGGGCAGGCATGTAGTTTGAAACACACACCAGCATCAGGAGTGGCAGAATCTGTCAGGCCAGACAGGGAACTGCTGAGCAAGGAGTCGGAGGCTCCCTCAGTTCATACCCTGAGGGGTTCCATCTGTGGGGGAAGGTTATCAAGGAGCAGAGGAAGGAGAGCCCACCACACCCAGGGTAAGAGAAGGCAGAAGGGGTGGGGGTGTCTTCCAGGAAGAGTGCTAGGCTTCGCCCTCTCTCACCTGGAGACAGGAACCAGGAAGTTAGGGGTGCCAGCCACAAGGAGCGCCCAGGAGTCCTGTTATTCAGGGAGAAGCAGAACAAGAGGCACTCCTTGCTGCCTACTCAAAATAATGGCCTTCCAATTAGCTGCCTAGGATAGCTTCAGGCTTGATTCTGAGAAGGCAGGATCTCAGGCTCTACTACATTGGACCTACTGGGTCAGAATCCATTCTTTAACCAGCTTCCCAGCTGACTCACATGCACGTTCTTCTGCAAAGCCTTGGTCTCCTGGGCCCTAGCTGAAATGCAGGGTCCAGGACCCATAGTGACTGCAAGTTCTAGCTTCATGGAGGCGCTCACTCTCCAAGGGTTTTCGGGTTCCTCTGAGCATGCGGGTCATGGCTTCTCTGCTGGGTGAGTTTTCTTTCCTAAGGAGGCCCCTGACATCTGTCCTTCCTGCACTTTGCCAGCTGCTTCCTGCCCTGCAGTGCCCTCTGGTGGCCATTGCGAGCCACGGCAACCGCTTCGCCCCTTCTCTGCTGCCTAAACCCTAAGACCCAACTGAGGTTGGAAGGAAGAGGACTTTCCTGTTGCTGCCCTCTGCCACAAGGCTCAGGGACCCCCAGAACACAATGGAAGCAGTTGGGAAAACCCCGGGCTTTAACAGCAAGCCAGCAAATGGATAAAGGGTCCTGGCTCAGCTCTTCTCCCTATCACTGGCCTTTCCTCCTGGAAGCTGTTCAGAGCTGGAACATGGGCTGGAGGAGACAGAACGAATCTGTGTAGGGAGGACATGCAGGCTGGACTGGTTCAGGGAGCCCTGCGTGGTGACTTCAGGACGGGAAGCAGCTGCCAGGTGCTGGAGGAACTTACAGGCTTTTACCTGTTGAGATCTGGTCCTGTGTCCGGAGGCTTGACTGCGTTTGCTCAGGGGGCCTGCTGTGTGAGGCATGGACTACGGTGGACAGTGGGTGCTGTGAGGGGCTCCTGCCCCAGTTCAGAGAGCATTAAGGGCTTCACACGTGAGCCAGGCTTGGGTGGTGGAAGGCCAACACTCTCCCACATGCCAGAGAGAACCTGTCAACCCAAGATCAGGAGCTGGTTGGGCTGCGAGCTGGCCAGTTGTGTGGACAGGGAGTGTCTTGAGAGACACGTGGCCTCATGAAGGTGCCTCTAGAGACGTGACTCAGGTCCTCCCAAAGCTCCAATTCTTGGTCATGTGGAGGGGCAGCCGGACTCCCTGCCCTGCCTGGCCTGCTTCAGCTGACCATTCTCTGAGGCTCTATCATGATACTGGTGACAAAGCCCCAGATTCCTGAGAATGGGTGACTCCGAGGCCTCCCAACCGAAGAACTGTTGCCACTGTTCTGACGAACTTGATGACCCACTTTCATTACCTGCCCGCCTGCCTGCCTTCTTTTCTTCCCTCGTTCCTGTTAGTGTTTCCTGGGATCCTCTCGCAGGTAAACTGTTTGCTCTCAAATCCATGTTTCAAGATCTGCATCGGGGAGTGGGTGACCCAAATCAAGACAGCCTCTGGCTGGGCCACTTTATTTTCCTGACTTATGGTGCAGCATGAAATGGAAAAGGGTGTGGGGGGTGGATACCTGGGCTGGGGGCAGGGAGAACTCACTTTTCACCTGTGACCTGGAGACATAGTAATAAGATGGAAGGGATGGTGTTCAGGCTGACTCTGCAGTGGGGGGCTCCAGACTTACTAGACTTTGGGACCCTGACTTCCCATTCTGGGCAGGCCCTGTCTGCCAGACTGGACTCAGGCCCCAGGATCCTTGCGGGTGACCACAAAATAGTGGCTCTCATTGATGCAGTAGGCCTCTGAGTAGTTAATAGGGCTGTACTGGCTCTTTAGCACCTGGCAGCCGGCCTCCTGCAAGGCCTTCTCCACTGTCTCCTTCTCCAGTGGGAGGCCAAAGAACTTACTGGGTCCCACCATGTAGTTCTGGCAGTTCAGGGCCACCGAGGTGACCAGGTGCCTGCCTGGCTTCAGTAGGCCGACCAGGCTCCGGATGGCTGCCCGGTAGGCGTCCACGTTATGGCAGGCGCACTCCAAGGCCAGCAGGGTCAGCACGCAGTCCACTGCGGGCACCTGAGCCGACCCCAGAGGACGGGGCTGGTTCACGTCGCATGTCAGTAACTGCGTGACTGTCCTTTGGAGCCGGGCCTCCTTCTCCTGCCACTTGCTCCTGTGAGGGAGGGTCAATGAGGTGACAATGACAATTAGGACAACATCCCCCACCCCCCAGGGTGGCCTTCCTAAGGGCCTATGAAGAAGATCATATTTCCCTCATTATATAGATGAGGAAACTGAGGCATACAGAGGTTGAGTGATTTGTTCAAGGCCACACAGCTGATAGGTGACAGTGCATTTGACATCTGATTCCTCCTTCTTTCTCTTCCTCCTTTTTTCTGTCTTTCTTGTGAATAACTCAATTTTAGCATATTGCATTATTAATTTTAAGTTGTAAAAGACATATAACAAAAATTTGCCATTTCAGTCACTTCGTAGAATCCAGGGGCATTAACTGCATTCACAATGTGTGCAACTATCACTATTTTCTGCTTCCAAAACTTGTTATCACCCATGCTGAAACTTTGCACCCATTATGCAATATATCCCCATTCCTCCTCCCTGTAGCCCCTGACCCTGTAAATATCCTTCTTTAAACCAGCTCTTTCCCATAGCTGGGCCTTTGCCCTTGCCATCCCCTCTGCCTGACTCTCTCCAGATCGTCTCATCCTTTCTCCCTCACATCTCCCAGGGAACTGCTCCAAGGGATCTTTCTTAGAGGAGAGGCCTCCTCTTGCCATCTGCTGGGGACTGAATTGAATCCCCATCATATTCATATGTTGAAACCCTAACATGTATGTGGATCTATTTGGTGATGGAGACTTTGGCAGGTAAATAAGGTAAATGAGATCATGAGGGTGGGGCCACTCATGATGGGATTTGTGCCTTTTACAAGAAGACAGACTAGAGAGCTAGCTGACTCTCCCACTCCTTCTTCAGAGGACATGGCAAGACGGCATCTACAGGCCAGGAAGAGCACCCTCACCAAGTTCAAGGCCTGATCCTGAGATCCCAGCCTCCAGAAAGTGAGAAAAGAGCATCTTTGTTCAAGCCGCTGCATCTATGACATTTTGTATGATGGCTCAAGGTGAGTAAGACACCCTGCCACCTAACATAGCACCCGTACTTCTCTAGACCCCGTCAGCTGGAGAGTCTTCTCTAGAACACTTGTTTTTCTCTGAATCCTTACCTCCATCTACTTTGGTGATGTTGTCCTCCCTACTAGAATGTGAGCTCCGTGGGGCAGAGACTTTATTCACTGTGCTAGTCTCAGTATCTGGAAGTGACCTGACTCTCAGAATGCTCTCTGTGAATGATGACAAGAATGTATGAAGCCCAGGCTGGGTTGATGCAGAGACCCTGTGCTCAGAGACCGTGAGGCCCTGTTCCACTCCAGGCTGCCCCTGTCTGTAACTGGGTCAGGCCCCCATGACCAGAGATGGGGCAGGAATTTAAAGTCTGGTCTTTGTCCTGCTCTAAGGTGGCCTAGAGGGCACTCTCTATGTCTGGGCCTTGGTTTCCTGGACTCTGGTTGATGGATTCCCTCTCTGTGAATGGGATGGGGAAGTGCCTGGAGGGGGTGAGTGCTGTTGGTCTCTGGGACTTGGTAGCAGTGCTGAGGAGATAGATGTGGGCGATTCCAAGAAGCCCATGTCTTCCCATAACAAGTGCCCCTCCAACACTAGGTAAAGTGGAAGCTGAACCATTAGTTTTGAGAGGAAAGAGATCTGCGTGTGCTGGAGCAATCAGGGGAGCTTCCAGGAGGAGGTGGGACTGAAATAGGTCCCACAGGATGGATAGGATGCAGAACATGGAGAGCAAATAAGGTAACTGAAGCTTAGAGCACAGGCAACTCTGAGGCTGGAGGTGAGACACACTCAAAGGGAGGGAGGTGCTCTGGGCCAGAGACCCAGGTGGGTTAGGAACAACCTAGAGGGAGACGGCCAGTGATGCAGGGTGGCAGGCTTGGCCTCCGGCCTGTGGGGGTGGGGAGAAGGATGGTGGCTGTGGATACCTGTCTCCCTTGAGCTCACACACGTATTGCACGGCTGGGGACCAGTCATAGGCCCCTGGCTCCTTCTTCAGCCACTTGTCCACCTCCCGGAGGTTGAGCTCTGAGTAGTCTGACACGATGATCTCCCGGAAGGCCTCGCAGGCTGAGAGCAGCTGGTAGATGGTGGGGCCTGTGCCGATGTCGATCAGGATGTCACCTCCCACGCCTCCTGCAGGAGGTAGTGTGTTCCAGGTGTGGGGGGCAGACACCTGGCTCCATGCCAGTTGTGGTGGATGGAGATGCTGGGCTTTGCCCTCTCCCCAGGGTGACTCTCAGGGGACCCGACCCTGCCTTGGGCAGTACTTGGGCTGTGTGAGGGGTCTAGCCCTTACGCCTGGGGTTCAGGAGGGTGAGAGGAGGGTGGGGCACAGGCTAGCACACACTAGGTCCCCCTGCCGCCTCAAGGGTTGCTACTGGAGCCCTGTTAGGACCATTCGTGCCCTCCTGGGCAGCTTTCAGATTGGCTTCTTGGTACAAGCTGGTTTATTGGCAAGTCTTCTGACTCTGGGTTTAAAGCAATGGTGAGAGTGACCCCACAGGCCCCCCTCCCACTTCCTTGCTGCAAGGACAGAGCTCCTGATAAAGGATGAGAGCTGAGCCAGTGGGTTCAAAACTGGCTCAACCAATTACAGAAGGCAAAAGGACCTAGTGATGAGTTGGGGGAAGAGCAATATAAGTACATCACCCTTCTCTCCCTGCTTCCTCCCTCCATCCTTCTCCATTGAAACCAGTCCATTTTCCAAGCATTAATCCCAGTCCTTCCTCTAGAGTCTCCTAAAATTTCTCTGTGAGGTTTAAGCTTTCTTTTGTCTGTATTTCTGTGGTCCTTGCTTGATATCCCTTTCTTGGCATTGATTACATAAGCAAGATTTGTTGATTGACTGAGTAATTCCCTAGTTGTTCAGTGCACTCCCTGCCCAACTGCACAAGACAGCCCTGCATGAACTGATCTTGAGATTTTCTGCTGCCACTGACATGCGGTCTGACATGGGCTGGCCACCCTGGTGTCTTCCACCTGAGCCTCCCCTCGTGTGCATGGAAGACTTGGGTGATCATCTCTGCCAGTCCCCCCAGCCTGACACCTCAGAGCAGAAATTTGTAAACTGAGCTCTGTGGTTTGGCTTTGGGTATCCATGAACCCTCTTAATTTTGTGTAAAAGATTAGGAGTGTTTCTGTGTTGTGTGTATACCATATCTTTCATCAGATTTTCAAGGGGGCTCATGATCCCAGTCTATAAAGCGGCTTTTAGGTCACTGAAGGGGAGGCAAGCAGTATGTTCATATCTCTTGTCTCCTATCCCTACCAGCATGAGTCGATGAGCCCCACAGTTCAGGAGTTACCTTCATGTTTCCCAGGGCAAGAAGCTGAGGCGGACTGTCAGAGATTCAGGCCTGGTTCCTGGGCTGCAAAGGCCAGTGCTTGGTTTCCACTGAGTGGCCACCCAGCAACGGTTGCCATGGATTCACAGCTGGGCTGCCTTTTCAGCATCCTAGGTGAGTGGTGTCCCAGAGGATGGGTCCCCTGCCCCCCAAAACCCTTCCTGTAAGGTGCAGCCCCATGGTCTCCCTGAGATGGAGACCAGACGCTCACCTGGAGAGAAAGTTTCGAAGAGATTATTCAGGAGGAATTTCAAGATTTCGTTTTCAGCTACAGTGCCTGAATCAAAGGCATAGTAGGTCTTTAAGTAGTCCCTGGGGTTGAACTTTGTCTTGTAGTCCTCTCCTGTGTACACCTTGCCCTCCATTCTGGCTGCAAACCTTGCTGCATCTCCCACTGCAGCAGTTCCCCATTATATCTACCCTCTTTTCCCTGGCCCTTCCCATTGGGAGTGTCGGAATCTCATCAGAGAGACCCTCCCTCCCAGGGAGGAGCTGGGATTGCACATCATGGAGTTAGGCCACATGTTAGCTTTCTGGCTGGGGTTTATCTGTTTGGTAATTATCAAAACACAGAAATGCAACAGGATAGTCAACAAATGCTCCTGGTGGGGGGAGGGGGGGAGGGTCTCAGTATTTCACTTCTGAGAGGTGCTGTTTTGAATGTAGATGCTGCTGGCAGGGGTTAGATTTGGGGGAGAATGAAGCAGAGGGTCTGGGCCACAGAGCAAAGAGAGAGACAGAGATGGGCAAAGAGTGATAAAGACAAAGGCACAGAGAGGCCAAGCATCTGGAACAGGTCAAGTATCCTTCTCTCTTTGGGTTTGCTGGGAAAATGAAACCCAGAAAGGAAAACCCTGTAGCATGGAAAACAAAATGCAGAAATGGTTAAAATTTCACTGACTGAGGTCAGTGAGTTTTCTCTTTAACATTGTTTGTCCTGAACTTGGTTAAATATTTCCTCCTGTCTTCAATCCTGTTTACTCTATTTTCTTAATCCTTTATTTTTCTGAGGATAAAAGTAAACTTAACCAGCGTCCCCCAAAAGGTTGAGAAGCCTGTGCCCAAATCATTTGAAAAGTGCTGGCATTCATAAACAGAACATGTGATTAAATTTTGTGGAATTTGCTTGCATGAACAATCACACACACAAACACACACAGAAACACACACACACATAACTACTAGTAAAAGGTGTAAAAGATGAATGAGAGCAATGGGTTGTATCAAAAGGGTTGCCTGCACTTCTGAGTAGGTTTCAGAATGACTTCTTGGTAGGAGCTGGTTTATTCCAACATATCTTCTGGTTGTGACAATATTCTGGTTGTGATACTATGTTTTGAAAGATGCTACCTTTATGTTATCATTGAAATGTACTCAAATCTCTCTGTATTATTTCCTAGGCTGCATGTGAATCTACAAAATAGAAAGTTATGTTAAAAAAGAAAGTGTTTCCAAAAGGAAAAAAAAAAAAAACCAGAAAAAAAAAAGTGTTTCCAAATCTCTTCCAAAAATTCGCCTAAGAGCAGAGGTTTCAGGTAGCAAACTAATGTGTTTTGCAAATGGGCAAGTCTGGGGCCCTGGTTTGAAAGTGTGCTGGGGGTGTCCCTCACGCTCATCTTCTGCCTTCTTTGTGACAAACTCTAGAGTAGATGTTGAGACCTATTCACTCCTTGGAGATTAGGAAGCCGAAGGTGACGAGCCTTTTCCCAAGGGGGTCCTGGCAGCAAGTGGCAGGGTCTAGGAGTAGATTCAAGGCCAGCGTCCAAGGCCAAAATGAAGACTCACTCCAAATTTATTGTCTCCTCATCACACTATCGGAGAAGGCAGTGGTACGGCACTCCAGTGTTCTTGCCTGGAGAATCCCAGGGACGGGGGAGCCGGGGGGGCTGCCGTCTGTGGGGTCGCACAGAGTCGGACGCGACTGAAGGGACCTAGCAGCAGCAGCAGCATCACACTGTGCAGTCTAGCAGGGTCCCTTAGCGGTGCTGCTCAAACTAGCATGCCCAGGAATCACCCGGGGATCCCTCTAAATGCAGGTTGTGGTTCTCAAGATCCTACAGCTATAATAATCCCAGAATATACTGAGGCCGCCGTGATGTGAACGGCGCAGCCCTGGATCCTACTGCCCAGAATCAACATTTATGTTTCAGAATTTGGAGTTCCTGCAGAATAGAACCTCTAATTTTATTCACTGCAGTTACTAGAACCTGAACTCTGTGCTATTTCTACTCGGTGGGAACAGGTTTGATTATGTAATAAATGATGATGGCACAACTTCCTGTCCAGTTGGAAGAAGATAAATTAGACTTCTCTCCAATCTGTTAGAAGAGAATTTTATACTCAAACTCAATTAACATAAAATCTAGGAGGATTAAAGTGATTGGTGACACTGAGTGTATCATGTTGTCCCCAGGGGTTCTTATTATCGATTTGCCTGCAGACACGTGAACCGGCAGGGGCTTTGCAGGACTGCCGTGTCACCGTGTGTGACCCCCACGCCTGCTGCGTGGTCCTGGCACAGGGTCAGCATCGCTTCTCCGTGTCTCTTTAAATGTGCTAGAAATGTCCATTTTCCGTGCTGCCTAATGCACAGTACACAGAAGTTCAAGTTAACTTGAGTTACCTGCTCCTCAAGTGATTGACAGGTAAGAGAATTACAGGTGTTCATCATTATAAATAACCTTGTAATCAGTAGTCAGCTTTTTCTGCATTTTAGAGTTTAGAGTCAGGATTTGGGCTGGATTCCTAAATATGGGATTAATGGATCAATGTTTTAAAGCTTTTAATACAAATAAATTAGGTAAACACTTGCAAATTATGTTTCTAAGAAAAACAATGCCTTTTACTTTTTTTTTGTTTCAGGACAAATATTTATTTTTTTCTTTAATAAAATGTGTTAATTTTTTTTCCTTTGGGTTTGTTTCTACCTAAGCTTTGAAAATCCTTCCCTGTTCAGAGTTCTGAGAACCATCTGATTGTGATAGTTTCTGTGATTGTTTATTTAAAAAATATTTACCCATTATTTTGGTGTTTGGTGTGAGATGAGGTTCTGTGTGGCTGCTGACAATTCACTGGAGAAAAGTATGCTGACATATGCAAGTTCTGGACTATTTCTTCACTCCACAGGCTCATGTGGAAATAAAGATAACAGGATGCTGAGATAGTCACTTTCCTAATATGGAGAATAAGATTGATTCTTTTCTCATCTGGCTGACTCTTAAGCAATTTGTTTTCTTGACAGTTAGCTTGAAAATGTGCTCCTGTGTTAAAATTAAGGGAGAAGTCCCCTTGAACGGAAATTTCTCTGAGTTATTCCGGTCACTATATAGAAAGATGTTTAAGATGAGGCAGATATTCTTAAGAGGGTCCGAGACAACCCTGGCAAGAACAAAATTCTGTCAAATTGATGAAGGCAAACCTTAGGACAGTGGGTCTCCAATGGGGTGAAAGGTTGGGGTACACTTTCCTGCCCTGGGGTCATCTGTCCATATCTGGAGATGTTTGATTTGTCACAGTTGGAGATGAACTATCTGGCCTGAAATGTCAGTGTTGCTGACATGGAGACACCTTATTTTAGAACATATCCGTACAAGATTTGATTTTGAGCAGATCACCCTAGCTCTGTGAAGACCCCTAGCTAGGCCAGAGTCAGATGTGAGTTGGGTGGGCTGGTGGAGGTCAGAGGGTAGAAGTTCTGGAATGTTGCTGGAGCAAGGAGGTTGGATCCATTCCACTGGGCAGCACCAGGCACTGGAGGCCCTGAGCTGGGGTACGCCTCATCTGTCCCTCCAGGACATTCATTGTAGCACAATGAATGAAAGAGTGGTCTCTCTTCACCTAAGCTGGGCAGACCCTGGATGCTGGCATCCCACTGCTGGGGTTCTGGGTACATAGATGTCCACAGTTCACTTTAGAAATGTTAATAGATGCTAAGCTGAGCATCTTTCACGCGTCTCTCACTATTCACTCTCCATCCTTCTTCATTCTCTTGTGAACGCCAGAAGACTAACTTATGTGGACTATGTTAGTGGCTCCCTTGCCCTCTGGAATTTGCTGGCTACTGAAGGGTGGTAGGAAAGGGAGGTCTGGGTGTTTGCTCTTCAGCTCCTTCTCTGATGGCAGTTGAGGAAGCCCTGTCTGTACAGCTCTGCCTTAGGTCTAGGGTGGACAATGGCTCCTCCCTGCTATTCCCCCTGGAGCACTTGGATGCTTGCTTTTGTGTATTAATTTAGCTGAGCCCTGGGGCTCAGATCTGTAGTCAAATACTATTCTGCATGTTTCTGGGAGAGTGTTCTTGGATGAGATTAACATTAAAATTGGTGAACTTTGAGTAAAACAGATTGTGTTCCATAATGTGGGTGGGCTCCATCCAATCAGCTGAAGACCTCCTCTGAGCAAGATGGAATTTTGCCAGCAGATGGTTCTCAGACTTGAACTGGCTATTGAATTGGCTCCTTCTGGTTCTCCAACCTGCTGGTTCATCTTGCAGTTTTTGGACTTGTCTGCCTCCGTGATACTCCAGAATTGTGTGAGCCAACTCTTTACATCTTTCTGTATGTATATTTGCATCCCTGGTAGCTCAGATGGTAATGAATCTGCCTGCAATGAGGAGACCTGGGTTCAGTCCCTGGGTTGGGAAGATCCCCTGGAGAAGGGAATGGCCACCCACTCCAGTATTCTTGCCTGGAGAACTCAATGGACCGAGGAGCCTAGTGGGCTACAGTCCATGGGGTTGCAAAGAGCCAACACGACTGAGCAGCTAACATACACACACACCCCACAGCCTGTTGATTCTGCTTCTCTGGAGGGCCCTGACTAACTAGACTAATTAGGTTATAAAACTGATTCTGAGAAAGATTACACAATTGTCCCAATGCCTTTCAGCCAAGAGCGTAACCTCTGCCTTCCTGGACAAAGAACAGGAGCCCCAGGCCTAGATCTGGCCAAGGTTCTGGCTGGAGTGTTCAGAGAGCCCATCCTGGGAGCAAAGCCTATAAGTTCAAGGCTGACTGGGAGCCTCCCCTGCATGTTTGGTTCTGCCTGGATGACTTGCTCTGGGAAGGCAGATGGGTCAGGCGGCTGGGCTGAGAAGGAGATGACCGGGGATGATAGTCCAGGGCTGTGTTTAGGGTGGCCTGGAAGCCACAGTGAATGAAGTGTGACTTCCAGCAGGCTGTCTGGGGCCCAGGCTTGGGGCCGTCTCTCAGCCTGCAGGGCTAGGCTGTTCTCTGATTTCTGTCTCCCTAACCCTCCTGCTCCTCTAGGGCTAGTGGCCTCTTAACTTTCTCCCACCCTCCTCACCAGGACATTCCCCCCACTGTTCCCTGATCAAGTGTGCAGAGTGACCTTATGGCCATGAGAGCCCAGAGGCCACTGCCCAATCACCATGTCATCGGGAGAGGATTATCTTATCTTTGGGAGGCAGGCAGATGCTGAGAAACATCTTACAGATGGCTCGATTGAGGCCCTTGGAGGCTGAGGGTCCTGCCAGCGAGTCTGTGACAG